TGTTGCATGTCTACTACATAGCAGCACTAAAACCCATATGCTATATCAAATAAAAGGCATTTACTAGTAAACACTTATCAAAGCAAGTGTTTATAATTTTTACAATTTCTGCTATATAAAAATTGACATCAATTACCTTTCCAGAATTTAGTATAAAAAAAAAGTATAGTTGATTCTGTACCCCATAAATATGTATACTCAATTATGTTTCAATTCAAAAAATAAAATAAAATAAAATAGCGATGATGGTGGTGGTGTTGGTGGTGGGTTGCTCACACTGAAGAAGAGTGTAATTTCTATTAAACACTGGAAGTTACTTACGTATGTATTTTCCTTTATACCTTGATTTCCAAGAAGCTCAAAATAAAAACGAATGCTTACTTAGAGTAAAATATTGTCCTGTGTTTCTTGCACATTTACTTGTCCCTTTTTGTAGCTGTTCTCAAATTCCCCTTTCATCTTTATTTGTACTTTTCTCTAATCACATGCATTTATATTTCTATTGTAAGCTGCCCCAAATTATTTGGGAAGCAAGTTGAGTATAAATTATAAACAAATACATATGAAAGCAAAGCTGAAACAAAGTGAAGAAAGAGGGGGTAAGCAGACCTTTGGGGTGTCCCCAAAATCCTGCCACACAAAATGCACCTTTGCCTCAGGCTGTCACTCATTGGGGCCCATCACATCAGCACTGCTGTTGTGACCCTGCATGGTCTTCAGGCCTGTGCCGTAGAGGATATGGACAGATGCCATATGCTAATTAGCACTATCTGACCCCCTAAATGAAGTAACTGTGAAGGTCTGAACACCAAGCAAAAGGAAAAGACATCATGAATTGCAGATTCAAATTATAATATACATATAATATTTCAGGAAGTAGAACTCTTAAATAGATGTTCAAAAGAATAATGTCCATGATGAAATTGGCAGTTCAATGTATCATGGNCTTAAATAGATGTTCAAAAGAATAATGTCCATGATGAAATTGGCAGTTCAATGTATCATGGTAGTAGCTCATGGAAAGTCAGATTATGATCCTGAGGAAGTTAACACATCACAGAACATTCTTGTAGGAAAACCATTATTTATTTTCCCCCAAAAAATATTTTCAAATATCGATGTAAAATCATTACATTTGACACATAATGGAATGCTGGAAGATACAGTTTGTCTTACAATAATACCAGTTTAATCTCACAGGTGTAGCATTTGGTCACATCAAATTTATGAGCTAATACAAAAGTGCAGAGTCATTCGTCATTCATTGGTTTTTGGACAATATGAATTACATACTAATTATTCATGAAAAGCTAAGTTCTGAAGACATAGCAATGAATGAACGGGACGCATCGAGTCCCTTCCCATGTGGAGTTTCCATTATATTCTCTCTTCTCGGTACCACATTCTTAAATAGATGTTCAAAAGAATAATGTCCATGATGAAATTGGCAGTTCAATGTATCATGGCAGTAGCTCATGGAAAGTCAGATTATGATCCTGAGGAAGTTAACACATCACAGAACATTCTTGTAGGAAAACCATTATTTATTTTCCCCAAAAAAATATTTTCAAATATCGATGTAAAATTATTACGTTTGACACATAATGGAATGCTGGAAGATACAGTTTGTCTTACAATAATACCAGTTTAATCTCACAGGTGTAGCATTTGGTCACATCAAATTTATGAGCTAATACAAAAGTGCAGAGTCATTCGTCATTCATTAGTTTTTGGACAATATGAATCACATACTAATTATTCATGAAAAGCTAAGTTCTGAAAACATAGCAATGAATGAACGGGACGCATCGAGTCCCTTCCCATGTGGAGTTTCCATTATATTCTCTCTTCTCGGTACCACATGCAGTGCATGGGCTTGGCTATTAGGAGTGTGCCTTTTGTACATCGTTCATGAAAACACCCTAAGAGGTGGTAGAAATGTATAGCAAACTGATCTTTTGAGTGGCCCACCGCACTTCATTTGTAGCATATAAATATACGAGTACGGGGTCCCATGGCAACAAAACAATTAATCTCATGAAGAATTTAACAGCAAACTGATCTTTTGAGTGGCCCACCGCACTTCATTTGTAGCATATAAATATACGAGTACAGGGTCCGATGGCAACAAAACAATTAATCTCATGAAGAATTTAACAGACTGGAGAAAACATTTTTTTTTTCAACCACAAGTTCCTACCTGAGTCATAGGGGGAAAACAAATAGCTTAGAGAATATGAAAATACAAAGATTCTTGCCTATTCTGAGAGAAAAAGGAATCTAAAGTGTTCAATCCATACAAAGGACATGAAATAGAAAACTTTCTTCAACATATATACTATGATGAATCTTCCAGATAAAAAAGGACTTCAGAGAGAAGAAGAGAAAGAAAAACACTGAGGAGACATGAGAAAAAAAATGGGGGCAGAAGAGAAGAGGTGGGAAGGCAGTGATGGAAGTGGGGGAAGGAAAACCGGAAGGATTACAAGGAGGGAGCTCACTGGAAAGGAGGCTCGAGGCAGGACTGTCTGCTCCAAAACATGGGCAGGAACAGCTGAGAAGGGAAGGGAAAAAGGTGACCGGCAACACTTTGTTCTATGAAAATTTTCTGTCCATAGTTAGAGCCACTCTTTATTCTTTCAACTTATCTCATGGAATCTCCTTTCCTAAATCAGGCAGTCCTTGCATTACAAAAATTCCACCAAATATGACTATACAGCATGATCTCTAAGAAATTAAAACAGAGTTCTGTTGATAATTCAATTGACACTACTCCCCAGAAGTCAGTGGGATGGTCTCTCACCCTTCAAGTGTATTTGGGGCATATAAAAGGTTGACATTTTCCACTTTCAAATTCACCCTGACTTTTGAGCTATATGGTAAAAACTGGCCCTGGGACCAAGTCCTTCTCTTAACTTGAATATGTCTTTTGATGATACCTGTGGATTCTGCATCATTTAAAAATAGATTTAGTTTATTGAGAACTGTTTTGTAAAAAAAATTTTTTTTGCACAGCCCTTTTTTGTGTGTGTGTGAGAATTTATCCCAGTCTTTCATTAAAAAGTGCAGATTCAATGACTGGTACCCAATGGTGGAATATGAGCTTCAGGATTGCAAATGACTCTAAGAAATACTTGTCACTGTCATTATCTCATCAATAACCTTTGTAAACCCTACAGTGTTTTGTTCACTCTAAAATATGCACAGTGGTACATGCACCTAAGGAGTGATTTTGAATTGTTATTTTAGAACCGCAGCTAGATTCAAGATTATAGAAGAGGGAATTGTTATCATATCTCTGCACCTCAAAACTTAGGTTTCATGCATTCAGTGAAAGGAATTTAATAGTCACAGCATGGAAATCTCATGGGCTAAGTGCATTTTATGGAGGAATGCTCATTTTAAATTAGAAGAGCAGAGATGTGCTTGTAAAGCGATGATGCTTCTCAGATGCATAACATGGGCTTTATAATGGCACCAAAGTGCTTACAGTAGCACCAGATGGAAGAAGATTGTTGCTTCCTTCATCTGACCAGTTTGCTGTCCTTGATGAAAAATTACCTTCACTGCCTGCCCATCATGTTGTTAGTGGTTAAAACGTACCATTTAAATTGTAAGCTGCAAAATCTAAACGGAACTGCATGTGTGATCTTTGTCACCTCATTTTCATGAATGAAAAAGAATATTCTGACACAAAAATTACATACTTAATTCTAGCTCACCCTCTCTGCTGACCTCCATCCTACACTGCCTTGGGTTTATTTCCTCATCCATCAGTGGGTCAAAGTAATTTCTGCCGTATTCATTTCCTGTGGAAAGTACACGAGGTAAGGGTCAGTGATTATTAGAAGCATATGAACCAAAATGTTAATTTTGAAATCGACACCAGCACAGAGGACCATTTTAGCAACTTTACAAGCTTAATTTTTTTACAAGTCTTCCAGGCTCCCTTTCTGTGTAATTATCATCTTGCAAAACGTCAGAAAAGGTCATTCAAGAAACAAGTTCACACTATCTTTCTGTTGCTAAAAAAATTAATGGAAAAATGATCAAATGTAGACTTTAGAATAATAATAATAAAAATTAAGCCAAACTATTTTTAGGACAGACTCAAGAAATGAGTAAATATTTCTGGAATTTTTTTTTTGTTGTTGTTGTTGTTGTCCTTTTTTGTGACCGGCTGCACCACAACTCAGCCAGTGAGCGCACCGGCCATCCCTATATAGGATCCGAACCCGCGGCGGGAGCGCTGCTGCACTCCCAGCGTCGCACTCTCCCGTGTGCACCATGGGCTGGGCCCTAAATATTTCTGGATTTTAATGATGTGTAGAGTGTACTGAAGATTCTAATTACTCACTTGGATTTCACTAAGTGTACCACGTTGTTATGTCCAGAGTTCCATAGCCAACCTAGCAGCATCTTATTTATGAGAAACTGTAGCAAAAGTTTCATGTTGATAGTTAAATGAAATGAAACATACAGAATGAGAGAGGAAAGAAGGAAGGAAGGGAGGAAGGAAAGTAAAAGAAAAGACAGAGGCCTGCTTACAAGTCTTTTTTATGTCAACTTTAGCACGAAGGGAAAGTACAAATAATTTAGCCAAAAATCGTATTCGACACACATTAACCATTTCAACACCACAAGCCCAAATATCTCACTTCCCATTTCTCACATATTCATGATTACCAAACTGTAGCATTGGGTATGACTTTGTAATAGAAAAAAAAGTTCTGCTATCAATTTTCCAAATCTAATTTCATACTTCCTGCAGACTGAAATGAATGTGTCTGTTGCTTGTAATTTGCATTCAGCAAATTGTAACCTCCTTGAACTATAATTCAAGTTGCCTCAAACACTGCGAAAGAAATAAAGCCTAGTGGAGTGAAAAAAACACCTCTGAATATGCGCCTCACAGAGGAGGGTTAATGCTTACAAAGCATGCTCTGATTCTCCATAGTGTATGTGTTTCAGGATCAAAAGTCACCCAAACAGCAGCTCCTTTGCCCAGGCTAAGTGAAATTTTGATAGGGATCTAGGTTTAATTTCTATTTTTGGACTGGCACATTTTTGGTAATAGTGTCTGTTCTGTCAACGTAGTAAGTACAAGGACTAAAAATCTGCTTTACCTTGAGGTCTCAATAAAAACAAAATAGATGAGTTTCACTTTTGTTACTTCTCTGTCAGCAGCTACTATGCTGGTATGAATCCTGGCAGTACCCAAAGTGTGATGTCCATCGATAACGCAGCCATTCTATGTCATTCACTGCAATTGTTTGTTCCTTTGTTTTTCCCTCTACCACAAAGCACTGTGATACTCTAAGTACACTCTTCAGTATGCTCGCAAAAGAATCCACTTACATTAAAGCAAAGTTGGTAGCGAACTCTTTACCATATTGCCATACCAATACTGCCACCATATCCTGGAAGCCTCCCCAGTCTAACGCAAAACTACAAAACTCAAATGTTTTGCCTACTAAATTAACTCGTTAGCATATAAATACCAAGATAATCAAGACCTTGGAGAGGGAAACAAAGTTAAGTCATTTTCAACCAAACGTCTTGAGAAGTGTAATTGGTTTTTAGGTTGCCAGTCTATTTCCATCCCTGCCGTCAGACAAGACTTTAGGGTCTTGCTGGGGTCCTGGCCAGGAAGGAGGCTTCTGCTGGGAGCCATGCAGAATGGAAGATGGGCCCCTATGGTCTGTACACGTTGCTCTTTCCACATTACTGCAGGTTGCTGAACATGTGTGAGTTATAAATGTCACCCCTGGAATGATTCATTTCTTATTTCCCGTCCTGAGATACCACACGTAGCATTTTGCAAGGAAAGAATTCTGAGGTACCTTGAGCAAGAGTCAGTC